TTTCGGTGCTTGGGATTTTGGTATTAGGGATGTCGGCATTTTGGGGCTCGGGATTTTCAACGTTTACTGGAGTATCTCGTGTTTTGGTTTTCGCCGTGAGGGAATTCTGTGTAGAAAATGACCAAGCAAAGCGTTTATTAACAGCACAATGTGCACATAACCCACGTGCACCCATCCGCTTTGCAGCCTTTCTTTCCGCAGCACGCGGTCCTCATGCTGTTCCAGCAGAGCGCTCCTCTTTTCAGACGCAACGCGCGCAAGAAGCCGCCGGCCTAAATGCCACCATCTTCATCGAAAAAAAAAATACGTTCTATTTTTCTTCAGCACTGAAAACTGTTAGATTTGATTGCGATTTTAGTAGTTTCCTTTCTTTTTTCCTCAAAATTTTCCTTTCTTCGTTTTTTCCTTAGAAATAAAAAATATTCTATTTTTGTTAAGTTTTTGTGGTTTTTGATCACAACAACATCATAACAATCTTTTTAAAAAAGGGCTTTTGGTTTTCGCAAAAAGAGACGAATTCTCGTGGCAACAAAAAGTGCTAAATTCCTTTCAAACTCTTAAAAATGCCACAAAATGCGGGAACAACAAAAAGTTGCTGGCTATTGAAAATCTTAGTAAACTCGGTACCATCCCAGATCACAGGTCAGGTCCACAGATTAATTTCAAGAAAGTGTAAATAGATCATAATACAGGAATTATTTGCAAGCCGAAACCGCTAGAAACTGGATCTGTCCATTTTAATAAAGTGCCAGCAACTTTTGGTTGATCCCACATTTTGTGGCATTTTTAAGAGTTTGAAAGGAATTTAGCACTTTTTGTTGCCACGAGAATTCGTCTCTTTTTGCGAAAACCAAAAGCCCTTTTTTAAAAAGACTCTTTTTAACCTTAGAGAGAATTTAGCCCTTTTTGCCTCAATCTTATTGTTAAGATCGTAAAATAAGCCAAAGAATACGTATTCAGATGAACCCTTGTACGCAAAACTTCAAAAAATTTGCCTGCGGCGCTTTGTGGCGGCACTAGAAACCATAAGGATGCATTCGGGCCAATCGGCAAAAACCATGTCGAGGGTGGGGTTCGAACCCGGGGGCCAAGTTTCCCAAGTACAACGTGCTAACCACTAGGCCAACCCGGAGACTGGAGGCCTGTCTTGAGGGACCTAGACCCGCCCTGCTGACCGGGGACTGGGGCCGCCAGAGGGGAGGATGGCGCCCCGTATGGCGAAGGTTTAAAGTTAAAATATCTCAGAGAAGAAGCATTCTTTCGATGCAATTTCTTCTTTACTTTTTCCGGCAAGGTCTATGGCATATTTGAGCAAAATTTGAGCTCAAATGGACAACACTAACCCTTGTTTTGACCGCAATTTAGCTTTTAAACTTAAAAATTAAATATAAATTTTTTAAAAAGCTATTTTGAAAAAAACGCTTCTTCCTCACCTTCATTTACATCAAGTCGATATATGTTGAAAATTTCAGTCCAAACGGACCATGGGAAGGCACTTTTTGACGACTACAAAGGTTTTGCGTACATACAGACATACAAACAAACGCAGACCCCCCCCCTCGAAACGCAATTTAAATCGGCTGTTAAAATTCGAAAATTAATTCTTTTTCAATTTTGAAAAGCTTATAGTATGCAAAAAGTGTCGCCGGTTCCGATGGTGTATTCAGTTTTGCGATCCGATGCTTGGTTCTTTTTTAAATCCGGAAAAGGACCCCAAAAGAGTCGTATGGGGGGGTACCTCAAACCAAAAGGGGTTAGCGGGCTACGCCCGCTAACCCCGATTGTTAAAACCGCCTAAAATTCAAATTTTTGTCCTGTTTTAGTCAGTTTTCATATTATCTTTTTGAGGCACATGCAACATTTTTGAAGCTTTTTTTAATTTTTATCTAGGCGTTCCAATATTCAAAACGAAATCTTTTTGAACTGTAAATGGCTTACCGGCAGATTAGCAGATTAAGAATTTTTTTCATCTACCCCCTCCGCCGCTAAGAGCGCTAACAACCTACCCCTGACAGCGAGGTCGAAGTTTCAACATTGGGTTCGGCAAGCTCAGCTGCAGTGACTGCAGCAAGAATGGCCAGCAGACATAGCAGGATCAGGATCTTTGGCATTTTCAAGTTTTTCCGGTTTTTTGAGACGCGGTCGGGTTACTTTGGCCCCTGCCTTATATAAGCTGCGGCCAAAGCTGATCGGCTGACGCTAATATCCAATAGAATACAATACAGACCACTCGGTCGCGGCCCACGCATCCGCGGCTCTGTTTACAGGCTATAAACACTGTTTGCTGTTTGCACGCTACAGAAGACGGGATTTGGGGAAGACCTGCAGCGTTCGTTTCCCGAGGCGCAAAATTGCGGCAAGTAGCGCGAGCTCCGGCGAGAGATTTGCGTAGTTTAAGCTTGATCCTAAGCTGCCTGAAAAATTCCGGTGCCATTTGAGCACTTCCTTCTTTCTAAATTTTGGATTGCAGGGCCCGGCGAAACCAAACTACACTACCAGGGTGTCCCAAAAAAAACGACCCATCTGGCATTTCGCCGTGTTGCATCCAATCGGTCCCAAATTTGGACCAGAGGTGTATCGGACCCTAAATAACAACAATCCTGACTTATAGCCCTGTAGCAATAGTAGTTCTCGAGTTATAGCGAAAACAAAGTTTATTTTCCATTTTTCATAGGGTTTTCGTGGAATTAGACCCCTAAACATTAAGCGAAAATGATCCGGTAGGCCTTCTGCACCCTAAGAAATTTTTTCCAGAGTAAAATTGATTAAATAAACTTTGATTTAAGCGATTTTTACAACGCAAAATTACGCAAGTTCTTGAGCGAAATTAGGGATTCACAGCCGGAAGTCGATGCAAATCGATGCAAAGTCCAAAAAGATAGCCGAAAAAATGCATCAGAATTCCGGGAAAAACAGTATTTTCGTTATAACTCGAGAACCACGATAGCTACAGGGCTATAAGTCAGGATTGTTGTTATTTATGGTCTGATACACCTTTAGTCCAAATTTGGGACCGATTGGATGTAACGCGGCGAAATGCCAGATGGGTCGTTTTTTTTGGGACACCCTGTATGTTCCTTGGTGTGTAAACAACAAACACTGTTTGCATAACCATGTAAAGGTGTTGACATGACTAAGTCGTATTTACAAGATCGATGCGTGGGCGTTCCGGGACGGCTGGTGGCCTTAACGCCAGGCGCATCGTTATTGGACGGTCACCGCACTACCCATCCTTAGAAATTTTTTAAGGCCGTGTCCAAAAAGTGCGTTCTCACCTTGTCAACAACAAACAGTGTTTATGGCCGGCAAACATCCGGAAACAGCGTTTACAAGACTGACCCTTTTGCGTGGGCGTTCGGAGGGGTTTGTGGGCCCTGGCGTCATCCGGACAGTTTTGACCACAGGTCGCCCGGGGTTATATAAAGCAGCGTGAAAATCAGAAAATCAACATTAAAAATGTCAAAGATCCTTCTCGTCTTTTGCCTGCTGGCCCTTCTTGCTGCCTATGTTGTAGCCAATTCCGTGGAGGCGGATGCCAAAACCACTCTCTCGGCGGTAGGTTTTTAGCAATTTCTGTAACAAGCACATGATCAGGTGGCTTTATTTTTAAATTTACTTCCAGGGGCGCCCCAAAGATTCATTTACTCTAAAACCGAAAAAATCGCAACCTTTTCGAAAAGCTGTCATCTAGTCGCTGTAAATTTTCTGACTTTTCTACAGTTTTCGAAATGTTTTTAAGTTTTCTGTGCTTTTTTAAAACATTTTTACAGTCACTTAAAAAAGTTATTTTAAAACTAGCTAGAAACTGGAATCTTCAATAAAGATTTTCAAAACCTAGAAAACTGTTCGATGGTTGACCGTTAACATCGAATTTTCGCTTCAGGCTGACGTGTTCTCGAATGCAACCCGCGACAAGCGCGGAATCTGTCTCCCCATCATGCAGGCGCGCTGCTGCGGCAACAAGGGATGCAAGGCCGCCGGCTGTGTCCCAATCATGTGTGCGATCTGTTGCTGATGCATAAATTTGATGGCATACACCCTTCTTTTTCTGACGGTTTCCTGTTTTTATTACAGCCGGTTTTCAAAGCAAAAGTAAGCAATGAATTTACAAACAGATTTATTCGACGCACAAGTAGAAACAGCAATACAAAAAGAGGCAAATCGAGGATCATGTTTGATGGCTGAGACAAGAGAGCGTTTCGGAAGGGAGAAACTAATATGAAAAACACGCCAAAATCATCGCATCGCCTTAAGAAATCATGTTAGATAAAGTTACGCAATACCGCTAGACCATTAGGTGGTAGGCTCGATACTGGCATGGCCATGGAAACCAGTGGTTTTCAATCAATTCTTGGGAGGCAGAGAGGGTACCATTTGTTGGGCCGGCTTTCAGCGTGGTGTTTCCGACTATCGCATGATCCTCGCAGTGCATAGGGTTGTCCATTAAGAAGAAGCTCCCCGAAAACGCATCCTCGCTCACCAGACCAATTGGTTCAAAATAACGATCGATTGCTAACCCAGCCCTGCCACTCGAAACATCCAGGCTGTTCCTGAAAAGTGGAGGAATTTCATTAGAAGGCGCTAAAGGTTTGCAATGGGACCAAGCCTATTTTGTGCAGAATTTTTTGCTGATGAAAACTTACTTTTCAGAAGCTGCCAAACGACCATAATTCAAAAGTTACGAAGCTGTACGTTTGAGCTAAACGACCAGCTTTCGCGATCTTTCGCGCTTTAAAGCATCATGACTTTCTAATTTCGTATTTTGGTCGTTTCGCCGGTTCTGAAAACGAGGCTTCATTCAGAGAAAATTTCTGCACAAAATAGGTTTGGTCCCATGCCCAAACTCGGTAGACACTAAGAAACGTTTCCGTGTTAGTGCATTTTTTACGAGCCAGCGAATCGCGTTGCGAAAACCGCAAAAAAGTGGCGCATATCTTGAAGTGCCCTCGCACTGCTATGCCTCTCTCCAAAATATCACAGGCGCGCCGCGGTTTTTCTCACCTCAAGGCTCTCTTCACCGCGTAGTCCTCTTCTTGTAAGCGAATTTTCGCTTCCTCCACTCTACTGGAAAATGCATCGTCCCCAGAATTGAATTTGAACACGTGCACGGTCCAGCCCTCTGCGTTTGTCACGTTCGCATACGTCCCGTTTATGGCGCGCACAGCATATTGCTGTTCCGGCTCCCAATCACCGGGGTGAGCCAGGGTTTGATATTTCCATCTGAAAATACGTATTATAAAACGTGACGCTTCTCGATAAATTTAGATGGGGCAGAATTCGTTTTTTAAAGTTTTTACTTTGTTCTGATTCCCCATATCGGGGTTTCATGCAATGCATCTCTACCCGGTACTAGATGTTCTTACGCTTTCGGTCCAGTATCTTCATGGGCGTGCCGCACGATCGATGCCGCTTCGTCGGCAGTGGCTGGCTTTTGCTTCCACAGCCGAGCCTCCGCGTGCTCCGTCGCACACTCTGGCCAAGACAGCTCCTGCAAACAACGTCGATTATCCATGGGCGTAAATCTGTCACCTGAAATCAATCATTTCATGTCATAAATGTCATATCAAAAGGCTAAAGTTTAGTTAATCAGAACCAAACTAGGATAGCCCGGTACCGGCCACCCGCCTGGTGCACTACACTGTGGATTGGCGGGTTTTGCCCCAAAAATTGAGTAGTCGCGCACCTGAACAGTGCTGGCCCAGTCAGCTGCATGCGAACTGATTTTCCGGACCCAGTCGATCGCCTCGTTTTGCCAGTCCTCAAGTCCCCCTGGAATCCCATTCATTTTGACATCCTCACACGCCGTGCCGAACAAGATCTAAAATATTAGTATGTTGCGGACAACACGTGTCCAAAGGTTAGTCGTTAAAACGTGATACAGCAGAAAGTACCGTGCCGCCCACCCAAATCGTTTGTATCTCGACCCCCTGCCGACCTAAAGGTGCGCAAAGTCTACCCAAAATGTTCGTCTTGGTCTGCCGAGTATTTTGGTATCCTTTAGAGGCCCGTAGGACAACGGCGAACTAATGCAGTCGGTGAGGATGCGGGGGATCTGCAGAACTCCCTCGGAATCACTTATGTTTTCGTCCGTGGTCTAAGGTCCGTGCTCTTATTTCTAAGGTCCGTGAGTCCGCCCGCCACCCGCCGCCCGTCCGACTCGCTGCGGGGCCCGCCTGATTTGGTGTAACGCGGAACGGACGCTCGGGATTTCCGATTTTTGCGCAGATCCCGGCCCCAGCGGGTTCGGACGTGTTCCGGACCCGACCGACCGCTAGGGGATAAATCCCCTCCGGAGGGCCAGGCCAGGCCCTGTCTGAAACCAAGGTCAGCGGCGGGAATTTGGCTGCTAGGCCGTCGGGGCGCTGCGACGACACTTGCGCCCCGACCATTTGCGCCCCGACACTTGCGCCCCGTCTGTTCGGACGGGCGACACTTGCGCCCCGACGTTTGCTCCCCAAGTCCATAGTAAACTGCGGGGCGCAAATGTCGTGGCGTAAACGGTCAGGGCGCAAATGTGGGGGAGCTGTCGCGGGACCATGTTCCTCCATTGCCCCTCACCCCGCTGTCCTTCGCATCTCTCCCATGGGCTCCCCGACATTTGCGCCCGACCATTTGCGCTCACGACACTTGCGCCCCGCAGTTTACTATGGAGGCGGGCGCAAGTGTCGGGCGCAAATGGTCGGGGCGCAAATATCGTGGGACGCTCCCATGGCCTAGTGGTCTACGGTAGAGTTGTTATAACTCAAACAACAAACAACAAATTATTCAAACAACTCAAACAATTTTGCTTTGTTTGAGCTAGAAAAGTTTCAAACAAAACAAACTTGTTTGATTTGAGTTTCAGGGGATCAAATCAAACAAGATTGTTTGACTTGTTTGAACTTGTTTGAACACCCTAAACTGTGAGATTTTTGGGGATTTTTGATGGATCGGAAGCGAATTCAAACATTCAAAAACAAATTTTACCGGAAAAATTCATGCAAATTGCGAAAATGCTGAAAAATCACACTTTAAATCCAAAATTAGCATAGATTTTAAACAAGGTCAAACAAAACTCAAACTGCTCAAATAGTTCAAACAAGCTTGTTTTGTTTGAGCGATCAACGGTCATCTCAAACAAAACATGTTTGATTTGAATCTCCAAAAATCCTATCAAACAACGTTGTTCAAACAAGATTGTTTGAGGCCTTGTTTTGTTTGAGTTATAACAACTCTAGTCTACGGCACTTGGGGTTCAGTTTTGCGCCCTGCATTGCACCTACCGTAACCTTGCGTGTTGACCGGTATAAGATCTTATATTTCTCAACGAGAGAGGAATATCCCTTTAAGAATTTCTGCTTTTGACAGGTGGAACCTACCAAAGATTTCATGGTTACGATCAGCAATTGTAGCTCCTGATCCATCGACTCCCGTGTAAAACCACGATTTTGGACGGATGCCCATAGATGGCACCTGCAAAATAACTGTACCACGCTTCGTCTATCAACTACAATAGGGTGTCTCACACCCCCCCCCCCCTCCGATCCGCTTATTTCCAACAAAGCTAAAATTTTAAGGAGAGTTGCTGGAATTTGCTTACGGCCACTGATACGAAGTCTTCGTGATGCCCTTCAATAATTTCGTAAACTCTTCAAACGAGGTTGGTTCCTCTGAAAAGTCACTATGTTTATCGGCGCGGAAATTCCGTCGACATTCGGCGCTCAAGGCAAGATGCGGAGTCTGAGCGTCGTATCGCGCCTTGAGCGCGTTTGTCGAAAGAAGTAGTGACGCAAAACGATTGTTACTAACGCTTTCCACAACATTGGCACCAAAAGGCACCCTTAGAAATGTCCGATAGCATGGTATTGGCCTCGCGTTCTCGTGTGGCCCCAACAGCGTAGATGAAATCTGAGAATACAATGATTTGGAAGAATTAGCATGACAAAAAAAAAAAGTTTTTTTTGTTCATCGAAAATCGAGTTTTTCCCCAAGACCTATAATAATGACCAAGCTTTCGATACTTTCAACTTTCTTCTAACGTTTTGGAAGTTTGTCTACTTTAAAGATAATCAAATCTCCCTAGAAACGATATAAAGACGTCTGATCTTCTGGGTTTTATAGATCATTCATACCTGCCTTCGCCTGGCTGAACTCCGTCGAAATCGATGAACGAGGTGTCAGCACTGCAAATTTATCGTATGATTTACTGACAATATTATTATATTACCAGCCGGCTGGACTTTGGGCTACCCCCCGTGCACTCCCGCCCCCCTCGCCGAAACGCGCGCGACCTGGCTCACTATGTCAAAAATCGTGCCAAAGTCCATTCCCCCCACTCCTCTCACTAAGAAAAACTTTCAAAGTTAAATTTAATAATTTAAACATAAACTTTTTCATAAATTTTTTATCTGTTTGGGGGTTTCTGACCACGCTCTATCCGAATCCGAAGAGAGCTAACAAGGGAACCACAAGTTGGCACGGTGGAATTTCGAAAAACGCTCGCGGCTACCCCTAGGTTTTCGACGACGGCGATTCCAACGCGCTAGTCAGAATTAGCTAAATCGACCTGTGGACAGAGATACAGCACTTCCGGAAAATGGTCAATTTACATTCGGAGGAATTAGCATTCACCTCAGGGTTTATGAGGGCTTCCCATCTCAGAAGAATCACCGGTTGAATGGCCGGGTGGTAAGCGGCTAGCTTGTTAAGATACTGACCAGGGTTCGAATCCCTTCACGACTTTTTTGTTTTGCTTTTTGGACGGAAGTTTCGATTTTTTACATAGTAAAGCTTTTATTCGTTGGTGATGAGGCCGATTCCTGCAAAAACGTTTTGAAATTCTTCATCATAATCTTTCATGGCCCTTTCTAACGAACGAGTAGCTTTTAAGAAGCTAGCTTTGCTCAAAGTTCCCTCCAAAAGCAAAACAAAAAAGTCGTGAACGGATTCGAACCCTGGTCAGTATCCTAACAAGCTAGCCGCTTACCACCCGGCCATTCAACCGGTGATTCTACTGAGATGGGAAGCCCTCATAAACCCTGAGGTGAATGCTAATTCCTCCGAATGTAAATTGACCATTTTCCGGAAGTGCTGTATCTCTGTCGACAGGTCAATTTAGCTAATTCTGACTAGCGCGTTGGAATCGCCGTCGTCGAAAACCTAGGGGTAGCCGCGAGCGTTTTTCGAAATTCCACCGTGCCAACTTGTGGTTCCCTTGTAAGCTCGAGGTAAAAATTTAGACGCGCGTAAAAAATTTACTCGGTGATACGACTTGGGTCAACTTACACTTGGACTCGATCCTTCGCACCGCTTTCGTTGCAGAGATAGAGTGTAGGATTGCGGACTTTTTTGGAATCGGGCAGATGGGGACGATGAGTCGAAAAAGCTCCTAGAACGAAGGTGTTTTACCATGAAGGTATCAATTTTTCGACAAGAACTTCTTACGGCCCTGTGGCGAAATCTAGACATATTAGAGTTGAAAGCATGGACTATTTTCATTGTATTTTACAAAGTTTCTATACAAAGAACATAAAAAATTTGCGAAAATCTAACTTTTTGATTTTTGGTCAAAAATGTAGGAAAAATTACCAATAAAGATAAATATTTTCGTATTTCACAAATTTCAAAGTATTTTTGTGACCTGATAACAGGACAAATAATTACTAAAAAGATCATCAAAACTTTGGTTAAGGCGGAAAAATAAAACGATGGCTTCCCGCCTTGAAAAACCCGAGAGTATCACACACACGAAACGATTTTAGGGACCCACCTGGAATAAATAGCCGGGGCCCTCGGTGAAGCAAAGTTCCTTGAAACGATCGCGAAAATTACTACTCTTTGGGAGTTCGAGCAGCATCTGGTATCTAAGCCCAAGCCTCGGTACAACGGAGCCGATTTTCTAAAATCCGGATATGCCTTAATCTTCATTTTACGGCTGTACATTTTTGAACAAATCGAAAACTTTGAAGAGGAAAATCTCGGAACTTTTGCGGAGTCAGGGGGACATGTAGGATGTCAAAATGAAGCTCTCGGAATGCGCTATCTAACCAGTGGTAAAGACTTTCGATCGCTTTAACTAGCCGTCGATAGGAGCGTTCGGAAAATCCGTACTTTCCAAACGCTGCGCTGCTGTTGGCGACTAGTTAAACCGATCTATATTCTTTACACTTATAACTTTGCTTAAATTGGGTATCTGCTGCTCAAAATTACATCAATCGTTTCATCGCGTCGAGATCTACCAAATAAGCTAACTTGCCAAACGAAATTCGATTGCGAGCAGAGTCCGTCCCCCTTGTAAGGAGAGTACTTTAGTGATTACCGTATCCCATTCCATCCCGGCCGAATACGCCCGTTGAGCAGGGAATCCTTCGAACAGCCATTGCCGTATCGCTGCAATTATTTTAACACAACCTGTGCTAATCCGGTAACCTCTTTTGTATGTTCGAATTCACGTTTAACTTGGTTTTTAAGCGCTATCTTTAGAAAATCGGAGGACTTCATTCGCTAGAGCATTGAAAAATATACGAAGCGTTTTAGTTCCATCACAAAATATGGCAATAAAAATCGTTATGGCACAAAAGCTCTGCTCTAAACGCGCGTTCCGCATTGGAGAGCGGGCTCAGTCAAAACCGAGTTCTCGACATTTTCGATTGTTTTACAAATTTTCTTGATGGTCATTGGATAAAACGTTAAAAAAAGATCAGTACTTTTCTATGCAGCGCCTCAGAGCTTAATAGAAAATAGTTGTAACAAAAATAGGGAGCTTAAACGGCAATAAAACTGCGCGCCTTTTTCCAACTCGCGCTGGAAAAGTACGCTTAAACAAACCTTCCTCCTGGGTGTCGATGTCCTGCAACAGCTGATTTCTGGCTCGGACATCGTCGCTCTTCGGCTTAACCGAGCTAATTAAGAGAAAGCCGGTATTGGTAAAACACGAAACTCCGTGTCACTTTTCTGCCTAATTTACCGGCCGTTTGGTTAATGGGTACTGGACTATTACTACTAGCAAGGTGCACTGATTTTTCCAGGTTGGACTGTTCGGTTAGCGAACTATACTTTGTGACTATAGGATTGATACAGCTTTTACAAAATAACGCTTGTAAACACTAGTAAGGATTTTCGAAACTTGGATCCTGCCTTATATAATTTGGTCGCGTATCTTTGTGTGTGTGTGTGTGCGGATGTCAGTTTCGAGGCCCGATTTGAGGGCCTTCCCGTGTCCAAAAAGCCCCAATTTTTCGTCACTCGGGGGAATCGACCCTCCTCTATCCGATGGTGTTTTCAGAATTCCGATAAAATAAAAGTTTGCAAAGTCAAAGGCGATTTTATTCATTTTTGGGGTCTGGGAGGGCTAGTTTGCATAATGTGAAAAAAAACAGAAATTTCCTCATTCTTGCAAGTTGCACTCGCGGGTTTGGTCGGGACAGGGAAGGGGGTCCGAAGGACCCGAGCTATCAGAAAGTCAAACTTTTCATGCAAAGGCCGCATTCCAGCGCCCAAGGCCCGCGAAGCGGGTTTTGGGCGCTGGTCTTTGTAATAAATTGAACGCGATTTCTCACTTTTTTAAGCCTGGTTTTGGTTATCGTTACTCACGTCGTCGGTGGTGTTATTCAAGGCGGCCTGCACGAGGGCACCGGCCAATCCAAGGATGGTGTCGGCTGCATCAGCGAACTTCCTCATCTTCTCGATGCCGTCGAAGCCTGGCTGTGAGACATTGCTCCAGATTTCCGTGTACTTGGCGTAAGCATCCGAAACTGCAAAGTAATTTCGCAAACGTGCTTACGACAAATTGACGTTTATAAGCCCTGCTCAGTGATGAATATTCCGTGAGAAAGCGTTTGTTTTCGAATTCTGGCGCCTTTTTAAAGGGGCTCGAAGGTGGAAATCTAAGTGATGCCGCGAAAACCCGAGCCCTTACGCCGAAAACCTGAGCACTCTCAAAGCTTGGGAAGCGCGTGGATTTGAAATTCGCGCCGGCGTCGCCTCCAAACTCAGGTTCTCGGCTGTTTCTGTGCTAAGCTCGATGGATGGGTGCGCTTTACAGAATTATACATTTTGATGACCAACAATTACAGCTATACAGTGATACCAACAGTTATTGCCGCATGCGCTGCCGGCGAAGAACAGCAGTATCGGCATAACTGCCATGGTCCGGTCATTTCTGTAAAAGAACTCAGTTGGAAATTATTTGTATTTTTTTTCCGAGCCTTTAAGACAGAAATTTATAACTGTATTGTTAGAACAAAAAAAAAGATGGAGCTGGATACGATAAGGGACCTTTTGGTGCTTTCGCAACATTGAGAGGGGTTGAATTTGCTCCGATAAGTCCGGACGTGCCTTTAACGTAAGAGTAAGTATTTTAATGCCCTTTTTGGTAAAACTCGACTAGATTTCGGGTGGAAGCAATCAAAAATACGAGAATAAATTTGCTCGTTTTCAACCTGGTCGATAATCAAACATTTTTGAGCGAAAATTAGATATTTTGTCACTTTCAAACAATGAATATAATTTTGACGTCTGGGAAAAAAGTCAAGAATAGTTTAGAACTCTCCTTCTATTTATATTCAAAAAAATGAATCCTTAAGAAAACGTTGGTTCCTTCAAAAACAGAAAGCCTTCCAGCGTGTTTTCCTAAAAATTTTGGCCGCTCAGCTAGCTCTCAGTTTACATTGGGTTTCAAAATATCAGCCCGCGGCCCTCTTTTGGTAAACATGCTTTTTGGGGAGCCGCTCCCAAAGCCCAATCTAATGACCTCGTTGATACCAACGGCCGAGGTCGATCACCCCTTTTCGGCCTTTTGGCAAATAGCCATCATGGCAGAGACCATGCCCAGCGGCAAGACGCAAAGGCATTTTCTTTCCCTCGTTTCGCCGATCACTGATGACTATTTCGTTATCCCGTTAACAGACTAGAAATTTGACGGCGCATAGACAAGTCTAATGGAAGACCGCCGCGAAGCGGGTTGTCCATGTTTCGCTTCTGACTATGATCAATTGTTTTGTAAATGTCCAAAGAACACCGGACTTCTAAAATCAGCCATACAAATAATTTATTCCCCATATTCATAGCAAAAGGAGGATTGATCAGGTTGGAAGGTAAGTCCTGTCGCCGAGATTTCGAAGAACTGCCTAAAATCGCAGATAGCATAATTTTTGACATGCGATATGTCATTTGGTAGCCCTCGACCTAAATTTCTTCCGGAGAAAGGTCCTGGGCCACTAAAATGAAGGGGGGTCGAGATACAGGCCCGAGAAGCTTTCGGCGAAATTTGGGAAAAGTGTTTTTGCAAGTTATCTCTGCATAGAGCAATTTGCAAGCGATACCTCGAGCGCCAAGCGATAGATCTCGGGGAGTAGATATCGATGGATGTTGAGATTTTCAAAATTGGTCACTGGATGGCCGAGATATGGGCCTCTGAAATTTGAGCCATTTCTTAGAACTTTTCTCGAAATCCTATACATTTTATCAAAATCCTCATGTGATGTTCAAAAATCGAGCGGCAAGTTTTGGCTCGTCCTTGCCTGATGTATGGGATCTCGAGAAAAGTTCTAAGAAATGGGCCAAATTTCAGAGGCCCATATCTCGGCCATCCAGTGACCAATTTTGAAAATCTCAACATCCATCGATATCTACTCCCCGAGATCTATCGCTTGGCGCTCGAGGTATCGCTTGCAAATTGCTCTATGCAGAGATAACTTGCAAAAACACTTTTCCCAAATTTCGCCGAAAGCTTCTCGGGCCTGTATCTCGACCCCCCTTCATTTTAGTGGCCCAGGACCTTTCTCCGGAAGAAATTTAGGTCGAGGGCTACCAAATGACATATCGCATGTCAAAAATTATGCTATCTGCGATTTTAGGCAGTTCTTCGAAATCTCGGCGACAGGACTTACCTTCCAACCTGATATTTTAGAACAACGTCGAGTGAAATTCAAATCACAATATGTACAAAAGTGAGATGGTGGCGGGAGAGAGAACGAGAGAGCGAGAAAGAGAGAGAGAGTGAGAGAGAGCAATAATGTTGAAATTGTGGCGAGTTCAATCAGGAAATTGAGCCAAGGAATCAATCAAAATTCAGGAATTTTTTAGGGAAAGACTCGATGGAGAAGCTTTAAAAAAATCATATACATCAAGAAAAACGTTTAAAAATTAAAATAATACCGATGGTTCGTAAAAATCCACAAATGAAAAAAAAGTTCGTTGCTCCACAGTTCGGGTCACTCGGGGTGGGAATTATCATAGTACAAAGTACACATCATACACAGTTCATACAAAAAAATGATAAAAGATATCGCCTAAAAGTTGTGCTTCGTAGTCGCGGGGCCGGCCGGGGGTTTAGTGCCTCGTGCCGATTGGGTTTGCGTCTAAAAAGGTACATAAAGATAAGCTATCCATTCCATTTCCCTAGTTGTCTCTGCTATGTAGCTTGTCTTACTGGAGCGCGCAATCCCTATAAATAACCTGTTTCCGCTTTGCCTACCTGATTCAACGTTCTCGTCGAGCCGAGCAGCTCTCGGATGCGCTTTCGCAAAGAAGTACGCTCTGGTGCGTCACTGGACCTGCAAAAAATGGGGTATAATTGCGTCATGTACCGTAATTTAGCGTAGCTTAACGCAGCTTATCAGAATGGGTTGTTTACAAACAACAGTTTGTGTACATAATGCAGCTGGTTGCGCAGTGTTGCGGAGTTTTACGTACTAACATTGCCCGATCTGCTGCAGTATACCATATCGTACGCCAGAACACGGTAACGTCATTTTACCAAACTGAACTTAGCGGTGTCCTATTTACTGCAGTGTCTTATAGCGTACCCTGAAGTACTGTAGCGTAGTGTTGTGCAGCTTTACCTAGTATTTTGGTTTACCGCGGTGTATTGTGATGTACGTCAGCGTACTCTGGTATTGTAGCGTGATGTAGCATAGTGTGACGTAACGGATTGCACCGTGCAGTCTCACAAACTTTTAGCTCCGCTAAAATACCCACCTCTCACTCTCCACTTGATGCACCGGGGTCAACGGTGGGCTGGTTGACTTATCCTTCTCGGGCTTTTTCGTGACGAGGCTCTAGACAGAGGTTTATAGAATTTTACTTAGGATTTTCCAATTGTTGACTGCCAGTTTCAAAAAATACTTTTAGCCACTGCACATCCACACCCAGCGTATGTCTACCAGCCGTTCCTCTCGCGTGCTTCTTCCTTCTACCATTTCCGGTTGCATTTTGTGGTGGGAGTCTCTGAAAAGGGCAGCATTGATTCTTGAGGAAAAATGGAAAATTTTTTTAAGAACCTGAGAATCTACCGTGGGGATCTGTTCATAGGGCGATGTGGCTCGCGCGATCACTGGAGATCCATCGACCATTTCGAGGCGTTCGACCGGTTTTGGCGGTTCTTGATTTTTGGATATCGTTAATCGGACAGCAGCGTAGTCGCCGCCACGCATGGGAAGGGTTTTTGTGCACTAAATACAAGGTTGAAAACTCAATTAGCTCTTTTTCTCCCGCTTTCTCTCCGGGGCGCTATCTCTCTCTCTCTCTCTCTCCCTAACTCACCGAGGCCCTGTCCGTCTTGCTGAAGTTCTCAAAGTGCAACCGCACGTCCCGCTGTTCATAGCTGGTGCCAGGAGGGCAAATGATATCCGGTTCTTGATCAATCGATGATAATGTTGAGGAAGAAGCTAAAAATCCGTTAAATTCATCAAAAATTACAATACCTTGACTCGACAAATCGTTGCAGCGACTGACTTTGTAAGCCACTACACTGGCGTGATCGAGTTTGCCTGGCATTTCAGCAATTTTCTCGCGTACCTGGAATAGATTACGATTGAAGAGAGAGAGAGAGAGAGAGAGAGAGAGAGAGAGCGAGAGCGAGAGGTTGAGAGAAAAACGTACCATTTGCCTCCTCTGCCTTTGCTCAGCCTTCGTCATCTTTTCCTTCCGATAAAGCTCCGGATTCTCGAGCGTTCGCCGTTTTGCTCTACAGAAATTTATAATTTTTTGCTAGATTATAGCTGTCACTGCGCCTTTAAAATTGTTCAGAACTTTGTTAACTTACTGTGATAGTAAAGTGGCGAACTGGACAAGGTTGTGACATAGCGATGAAGCCGGCACGGATGGAAACAACGGCTCATTTCGTCGAGGGGAGAGGCTTGGTGTTCCTGGAAAAATTAAGTTACACGCCATGTTCAAGGAGTTCAGGCATTGTAATCACTATTAGAAGGGCCGGGGAGAATCACGGGTGGTTTAGTTTGCTGGGCAGCTGTCTGGGCCTAGTAGATGCAAGGGGTCGAGCGTCTGCTACCTAGTCTTTAAAACATTTTTCTTACCCCGATTCCCACTCAGTCCGTTCGCAATAACGTCCCGCATCCTGACTAGCATCAACTCGTGTCTTTGAGCAGCATCGACACAAGGTAGCGAAGCGGCACACGTTCGATTGCGGATGTAGCCGTTCTCGCCGGTTCCGTCTTTCACCGTTCTAAAGAACGATGGTTGATTCTGGATACCTATCTCACTCGCTCTCTCTCTCTCCCTCTCTCTCTCTCTCTCTCTCTCTCTCTCTCTCTCGCTCTCTCCGTCTCGCTCTCGCTCTTTTTCCTCAAAATCTTACACATTGATAGGACGGTCCACTCGATCTGTTGACCTTGGCGGTAGCCCATTTGCATTCTCCTTGTTCTCCTCCTTCTTGATGACACAGAACTTGCCGACGACCGGGTCGAAGTTGTCCGAGACGCCGTCGGAAGTGATGAAGACAAGATCACCTAAAACGATAGGTTAGCAAAGATCATTTGGGAATCGAAGGGGCAGGCTATCAGAAAGGAACTGGAAGCCGATTAAAAGCTCACCCTCATCAACAAATGTCATGCTACACGTGAGATTGTGCAGTTGCGGATTTCGTCCGTCGACGGGGCCAAGAGCACCACCAGCGTCTCGCATGTCGCGCATCTGGTCGATGTCGTGGGAGCCGAGGGTTACCTGAAATGGGAGATAGAGAGATAGGGGGAACGAGAGAGAGAGAGAGAGAGAGAGAGAGAGAGAGAGACAGAAGGTCAAAGCATTTGAACTTACCTCTCTAACGCCATAATTGTTGTTGTAGACAAAACAAAGCGAGTCACCGACGTTACAGACGCAGAGGACCCATCTAAACACGCAAATTTTCGGTTTGTTTTAT